GGTGATTTAGATGAGGAGATATATATGGAGCAACCTGAGGGATTCAAAGTCAAAGGGAAAGAAGATTATGTTTGCAGGTTAAAGAAGAGTTTGTATGGATTGAAGCAAGCTCCGAGGCAGTGGTATAAAAAGTTTACTTCTGTTATGAGTAAGCATGGGTACAAGAAGACTTCTTCAGACCACTGTGCTTTTGTAAACAGATTCTCTGATGATGACTTTGTTATATTGTTGCTTTATGTTGATGATATGTTGATTGTTGGTCGCAATGTTTCAAGAATTCAACAGTTGAAACAAGAGTTGAGTAAGTCCTTTTCTATGAAGGACATGGGACCAGCAAAGCAAATTCTTGGGATGAAGATCATTCGTGACAGGCAGAACAAGAAGTTGTGGTTATCTCAAGAAAAGTATATAGAGAAAGTACTTGAGAGATTTAGTATGGATAAAGCTAAGCCAGTGAATACACCTCTTGGTATGCATTTCAAGTTCAGTAAGAAGCAATGTGCCTCTGGTGAGAAAGAGAATGAAGAAATGCAAAGGGTTCCTTATTCTTCAGCTGTTGGTAGTTTGATGTATGCCATGGTATGTACGAGACCAGATATTGTTCATGCAGTGGGTGTTGTTAGCAGATTTCTCTCAAATCCAGGGAGAGAACATTGGGATGCTGTGAAGTGGGTTCTTAGATATCTTCGGGGTACTTCAAGTCTGAGTTTGTGTTTTGGTACAAAGAAACCTATTCTTGCCGGATACACTGATTCAGATATGGCCGAGGACATCGACACCAGGAAATCTACTTCAGGTTATCTAATTACCTATGCAGGGGGAGCAGTTTCATGGCAATCAAGATTGCAAAAGTGTATTGCTTTGTCTACCACTGAAGCTGAGTTCATAGCATCTGTTGAGGCCAGTAAAGAAATGCTATGGATGAAGAAGTTTGTTTAGGAGCTCGGGTTTGTTCAAGACAAGTATGTGCTCTATTGTGATAGTCAGAGTGCAGTTCATCTTGCAAAGAACTCCACGTTCCATTACAGGTCAAAACATATTGACACGAGATATCATTGGATTAGAGATATCTTAGAGTGCAAGATGCTTGAACTTGAAAAGATTCAGACCGATGATAATGGGTCTGACATGATGACTAAAGCATTGCCGAGAGGGAAGTTTGAGGATTGTTGCTCTATCGCCGGGATGGCGATATCTTCCACATAGTCGGGAGGGGGAGATTTGTTGGGTTGGGCTTCCCTCCTATGTGATAAATAGCTCATGTTTGGACCAAGCCAATTTGTATCCACTATAATTTTTGTTGGACCTCTTCTCATGGACCTCTAATTATTATTATTATATTTATATAATATAATAATATTTAATTAGGCATATATATATATATATATATATATATATATATATATGGATGAATTAGGGATTTTTGAGTGGGACGCACGGCAGCTTTGCCCAAAAAGAAGAAATACAAAATTTTGCTTCTTTATTTTTCATACAGCAGAGAGGCAGTGCGTGTGGCGAAACCTGTTTTGGTTCATCATTCACTATTCTGTTCAGCAGGCAGATAGAGGAGAAGAATCGTGAAGTTTGCCTAACTTCTTGGGTGTTTCTTCATCAAATACTTTTGAGAGGTCAGCTTGTTTGTTCCAGGCATCTTTTGGGTATTCTCGTACTATTTGTATTCTTTTCATCTTGCTTGTGGTGGTTGAATATTTTAAGTACGAGTTGGTATTCTGTTTAGGCCTGTGGAATATAATAGAAGTCTTTGGCCTAGAATTATTGCATTTGATGATTTGTGGATGTTTGGCTCGTGTGGTAGCCTGAAACTTTGTACCCAAGATTTATTATAGTGGATTATTGGTTGGTGGTGGTCCCGTGGTTTTTTCCCCGATTTAGGGTTTTCCACGTAAATCGTGTGTTCTTGTGTTTGATATTTATTTTTGGCTATTGTGTATCAACTTGTGTTTGTGCTCCTGTCGGTTCTGTGATTTTTCATTGTCGCAGGAAGTGGGATTTTCCCAACAGGTGTTAAAATTAAAGCAAGAATAATATGGTCAAATCCTAGCATTTAGTGCCAAAATCGACCATAATGTTCATCAATTAATACATATTTAACCTAACGGCGCGATGAATGTTCATCTATAAATTGTTGGTGGAAAAACTAAAAAAAAATCCTTCAAGTTCATATATAATGTCTTCATGAGCTTCTTCTAGTTCATTAAGGTAATGAGTGGGACATAAGAAAGTTCATACTGACTGGGAGTAAAAACAGTATGTATATACATGATTAGGTATAGTGGCATGCTCAAATCCAAAATCCATGCATGGGAATTCCAGTGACCCTATCAACCTTAGCTTCAATGATGATGGATTACCTAATGGTTATGATTATAGGTTGTCTTGTATATATGGGGCTAAATTGTGGTTTTTTTTTTTTTTTTTGGCACCATGAATATGTTGTTAAACATATGTATTATAGTTATGATATTTGTTAAATTGTTTGAATGTGGTATTTGGCGCAAGTGTTGAGATCACTGCTGGAAATTTGCCATTTTCCGACCACCGAAAAGTGGTCGGAAATGGCCTTAATTAGGTCGGAAACGCCTGTTCCGACCTCTTTTCCGACCAATTTGGGTATCCGGAAAAATACCCCTAGCTATTTCCAACCACCAGAGAGAGTGGTCGGAAAGAGTCACCACTTTTCTAAGGCCGTCGGAAAAAATGGCCAAAAGAATTGTTAGGCGAGTCCAGATTTCCGACCACCAGTGGTCGAAACTTTCGACCACTTTGGTGGTCGGAAAACTGGAGGCAGTCAATAACAAAAATTCATTTCATTACAGAGAGATCTCTGTAATGAAATGAATATATATATATATATATATATATATATATATATATATATATATATATATATATATATATATATATATATATATATATATTGTTGCAAGCGGGTAAGATATTTGCTAAAAAACATAAAATACACATTTCATATGCTAGTTTTTCCATTTCGACAAAATCATCCATTAGCCTCATCTCGGAAACTCCAATTGTTTTCTGTTCAGAGTTACTCTTCTGGTCCTTATGATTCTTGAAATGCTCTAGTTCAGATATCAAAGCACAAGCCCAAGCTTCAGTAGAAACACTTTGATGTTCCTTCGTTTCATGGCTTGATATGGAGGAGATATCATTTGATATAGGTCCATAAACAGCCAGCTCTTCCTTCATTTCTGCATACAATCCTTCAACGCACTGTTAAGGTGAGTTAGCCTTCCATTCTTCTAACTCTTCCTTCAGACACATAATTTCAGCCTCCACTTTCTTGTGAGCTAAATTTTGCATCAATTAACAAATTGCACAAAAGTTAGTTCGAAGGACTTTGCAGAAACGGGAAAAAAATTGAAAGAATCATCAATACAACATGAATAAACAAAGAAATGAAGTTATCACCTGCAATGGCTTCTTCCGCCATTTTTGTGAATTTGTGACTAATTTATCTTTAGCGTTGCACTCATCGAGAGCAGATGCAACTTGTCATCAAATTCTTATAAGCAATAACTATACCTAGTCAGCTCATAGAGAGTTCTCAACTATTTGCACTAAATCTAAGAACCAAGACCATTTTAAATAAACCTAAGAACAATAAGTTTCGTTGATATTAAACAGACCTTTGTTTGAGAAGACCCATAGGTAGTTTGGCTTGGAACTGAACAATGAGGGATAACTCATTCCACCAAAGTGTGATGATATTGAATCTGGTGATGAAGAGCCAGACGATATCACATCATCTTCCTGCTGGTGATTCATATCTTCAGTTCATCCACTAAAATGTCCATATACAAGATCAATTTCAAAACTCCTTTATATGAAAGAAATTCTTCACATAAACACCTTGCACTGGAACAAAAAATAAACAACTAAGATTTCCTGAAGATAGAAATAGAAGTCAACATAACTCTTCTTTGTTCACTGAAAATATAATAGCAAGCGCACAAATATCTAACCAGAAGAAATTTATGTCAGAAATTAGGGAATGACAAGGTTAGTAAGACTAAAACCTTAGCAATAAATTAAAGCAAGTTTTCATAACTAAATCCTTCCAATAAAGCATATTGAACAATTCACAGGACTAGAAACACCATGTACCAATACCCCACAAAGATATATAGCATATATTATAACATATAATACTACATATTTATACAGAAATAAGTAAAAAAAGATTAACATTTGCATTTCTATTATATAGAGAGAGGAGCCAAATCAAGTGCAAACTATTCCTTAAGTATAAACTACAAACACATCTTAACTATTCCCATGATTATATAAAACTGAATCTGGAATTCTAGAAAGATCATACTGAAACACAATCTATGATTCTATGGATATATATTGATGCCGTCTTATTCTAAGTGCTCCAGGACATATAAAAAGGTTTTCAATTCTAACTTCACTAACACAACTAACAGAGTGAACATAATTATTTGGGAACCTTTTCAGTTGCCTTTCGATTCACAGATGGGAACCAGCCAGCTACTACAATCATCCTCTCTAAAGTTATCACCAAAACTATGAAAATTTGAGGGAATCGTGAATAGAGCACAATGAAAAGTGGAGTCGAGGGAATCCTGTAGTAGTGTATTAGTTATCAAAAAATCAAGAACATAATGATCATGAGTTTGTTTTTTATTTCTCAAGAATTAGTATGTAGACCAGAATCAAATTTGTGCCAGACCATCACATGACTTGGTGGTGAAAACAAGCAAGCAAACCCACAAAAAGTATTAAGTTTCTTTAATGAGTAAAGGATTAGATAATAGTTCAATAAAGAATTTACTTTGACAGCATAATAATGGCTGCAAAATTGATTAAAGAATATTTAGTTTTGAACTTGAAAGCAAACACAAAAAAAAAAAAAAAAAAAAATAAAGCAATTGAACAGATCATGATTATTTGTATAAAAGAAATCAATACTCTTGTCACGAGGTGTTATTTCTGTTTTCTGTTCTCTGTCAAATACAATGTCATTTCTACTGCTGCATCCAAGCCTAGAACATATGAATGGTGAGAATAAGAAATGGGTTTGGTATTCAATTCAAATCCAATGAATCCAGCATCAATAATAAAGAAGCATGTATACATACATTTATCAATTATGCCTTGGCTTTCAAGAGTTTAGCTTTCAGTTCATCTGCCACAGCGTCAATGAATTCTTCAATGTTTAGATATGTGTCCCTTGAAAGCCTACATAATTAGAAGACAACATTATAAACACAATGGGGTAATGTTCTTGATCAAGTCTAACTACAAAATTTTTTAAGAGATATACTAAAGGGGGTGGGGGTGGGCCGTGGGGGTGACACTCACTTTGACCCATGGATGATAAGTGCAAGATCCTTGGTCATCTTTCCAGACTCCACAGCACCAATGCAAGCTGCTTCAAGCTTCTCGGTGAAATCCAAGAGTCTATCGTTGTTGTCCAACTTAGCCCTATTTGCATAATATTACAATCGTTAACTGCGTTATATATGTAGTGAGTAAAGCAATTAGCAGACAAACTCTATGCACAGGTGTAAGCTTGGAAAATCGAAGAATGTTGTACCTGTGAGCAAGTCCTCGTGTCCAAGCAAAGATGGAAGCAAGTTTGGCATCCACCGTATAGTGGTGAACCACATAAGGCTACTGCAAGGGCCCTAGGTTGCAAAGACATGCCAAAAAATGGATAAATTCTTTGAGCAATTATTATTTGTTATAAGTGAGATTATATTGCCATTTCAGAAACAGTATGACCAACAGCAAAGTCTGTGAAGACTAAACGTTAAAACTCTATAAAGTTTCTAGAATAAATGCAAAAGGAGCAAAGAAGAACCAGATAATGAGACGGCAAACAAACACAATTTTGAAATTAAGAGAAAACAACAAAGGATTCCTGCAAAGAAAAATGTTATATTTCCAAGTAAAAGCTGTTTAAGGATTTGAGACTACAATCAAAATATGAGAACAATGCTAGAGCTAAATATATTTCCAAAATTTTATGAACAACTTCTATCTCACTCTTCAAAGAATCCATCTTCAAGGAGAGAAAATATAAACCAGTATTATACAAGATTAAAGCAAGCTGGGTATCAAAAAAACTTTTGATTATTTTGTCCTGTCCTTTTAATTCCGATAAAAGGGAGGAAAAATAACATAAGAAGGGGAAAAGCCAAAGAGGGTATACTTAGATTAAAAGAGCTGGCAGATAAGAAATCCATAGACAGAGGTATCCATTGACAGAAGTATTAGCTAAATAGAGTAAGAAAGGGAAAGAGATACACATAAAAGGAAAAAATCGTACAGTCAAAGCACACCCACTCTAAGAAAGAATAAAAGGAAAGAGAACAGGTTTGTTTAGGCATCCTAGCAGGAGTAGGGTGTTGACTTTCTAGTGAGATAACTTATGTGTAAACAAACAAATCAGTTATGAGTGTCCATAAAATATCTGCATTAGCTGTGATATATAGTGTTTCACTATTTCCCTCTAAATGAAATTCATACTCTTTATATTATAAGAAAATGTTATCTTCACTAATCACATGAATGAACAACTTTCTATTCAAAACTTTTGAATTATCAAAGTATGTAGGTGTAAAGTAGACGCATACATACATGTGCCATTGTGCCAAACATAATTTGTGTGCTAGATGTGAAAGCAAACCTGTGGCTTTAAGATGGTGTCCAGAGATATACTTGACCACCGATGGTAGCACCAGCAAGCATCCCGACCTCATACTGGTGTGCATCAAAGCGCCATTGGATAGCAGGCATGTGTACACTTTGTAATTTCGAAACAATTCTCTTTTGTCTATTGAAATCATGTCAACTCCCCTTTGCAAGTTGCCAATGAATACATAGGAATCATCCTAACCCCATATAGCCCTGCTTCCCAAAAAAAAAAAAATCAGAAGAAAAAACGATGGTGTTAATTCCAAACAGCAATGCATCCCAATTTAACAAACAAAACTTGGTAAATCACACATACATACCCAATCAGATTAAACAATTTATCATGCGCGTACATGAATACAAATAACTGATGCATATATTCACAGAAATCAAAGCATACTTTAGTCATGAGAGGTTTAATATAGTTCTCTGCTGCTTCTTGAAATTTATCACCCCTCAAAAAATCAAGAGGAATTTTCTGTAAAATGAGAAATATCACAAAATATAAAACATGTACAGGTTATAATAGTTCAAAAGAAAACAAAAAGTTTACAAAATAATATGAATTCTAGTGTTAGAAAACTGATATGTTATTGAACTTGACGAAGTGGAATCAATCATGGAAGGATGTATGAAGTTAGGTACATAGATACCTACACATATCCTTATGTAACCTAGGACTATTTCAAAGTGAAGGCCAATGCCCTAACAATAGATTAAGAAATAAAGAACCCTAAATGTATGTAACAACCTGTTTTTGCTGCCTGCTGAGGGAGTGAGGGGCGACCGGCGACCTGGTGCGACTGCTGCGACTGTGAAGGCGGAGGGCTGCTGGGCGCTGACTGCTGCAACTGCCGGACTGGACTAGCGACCTGGCGTCTGGGCGGTCTGTCGACTGGCTGTGGCAGAGGCGGGGCGGAATGGCGGTGGCGAAGAAGTCGCGAAGAGAGATCTAGGGTTAGTGTTGGAGATTGTTGGCTGTCATCTGATGCTGTTGACCATGTATTTTTGTTTTTGAAAACCTGACTATGTCTTTAATAGACTTTTTTTTTCTTTTTAAAGTATGTCTTTCTAAACATTTAACCTGTAGAAAAAAATATTTCCGACAACTTGTGTGGTCGTAAGAACACTTCAATTTAAAAAATTACATTTGGACGAAATATTTCCGACCACGATTTAAATAGTGATCAGAAATACCGATCACTTTCCGACCACTCTAACTGTTCGTCGAAAAAATTTAAAAAAATTACTTTTTACGACCAAGTTTTTTAGTGGTCGGAATGAGGTCGGAAAAACACTAATTTCCAGCAGTGGATTATGATTTTGAATGCAAATGAAATGTATTTGGTTTTCTTAATTTTAAACCCAAGTCAAATAATAATTTTAAATTTAAATTTATGCGGGCAGTTGTTGATTGAAACTTTATGTTAGTTGAGCAATTCAATAAGAATGCATCTTTGTAACAAATACTAAGGGTCTGTTTGGAAACCCAAAAATGACTTCTGAAAAATGGTTTCTGAAAAATAAGTCAATAATAAATATTTTAATTGTTTGATATTTTTAATAAAATCCTTCTGTGATCTACATTATAATATATATATATATATATATATATATATATATATATATATATATATCTATCTATTTTTCTTCACATGATTTTTGTGTTCGTTTAGTATGTTGTTTTGCAGTTGGATTGCACATTTATATTTATATACTAGTTTTTTACGCGCATTGCGCGATTGGGATAATGCCCAATGTTTTTTTTTAATAAGTATTTTAAAGTATATCAAGACAAGATTATATTGATATTGTTCATGCATAGATAATTGAATGTTAAATTTGCCTATTTAAATAGGCAATTCTAAGTTTACAATTGCAAGATAATATAGTCAAGATTTATTATAATTGTCAATAAAATAATTGTATAACTATGGTAGAAATCAAATACGGGACATAAGGGAGAGCAAATAAAAATTAGGGCATAAAATATTAAATATATATTAATATTGAAGATTTGAATACTCTTTTTGTCAATAAATCCCTCAAGTAGTTAATAATTATATATTTTTTTATTTTTTTAAAACTATTATTATTATTATTATTATTATTATTATTATTATTATTATTATTATTATTATTATTATTATTATTATTATCATTATTATTATTATTATTATTAGTATTATTATTATTGTTATTATTATTATACCCTTAGGTCATTTTACATGTTAATCTAAACAAGTAATTTTTTCAAATATCTTTTTAGCAACCGTTGATATAATTCGCTGGTCAAATTTGCTAATATAATCCGCTAACAGCTGATTGTCAAACAAGGACATTGCGAGGTAGTTCTCACTTCAATTTGTTGTGTGATTTGAATACTCTCTTTGTGAACAAATTAAATCACTCAAGTAGTTAATATGATTGGCTTTATTATTTAAAAAAAAAATTCATGTTATTAATAAAATACATGGTAAATAAATATATAACATTATTTTGTATTATAACTTTGATATTTAATTAAATAATAGTGCACAAAAAAAATAATAGACAATGTAGTGAATATAATCTATTGATGAATTTGAATGTAAAGAATTTTTACACTGGAGAAAAATAAGACAATATAACTAATAAAATTATTTCTCTTAATTAATTTATTGATAATGAATAAATTTTTTTAATAAAGACATTGTAGGGACAATGTAGCGAATATAATCAATTGATGAATTTGAATGTAAAGAATTTTTATATTGGAGAAAAATAAATACAATATATCTAATGAAATTATTTCTCTTATTTAATTTATTGATAATGAATAATTTTTTTTTTAATAAAGACATTGTAGACACATAATTCTAAATTAAAGAAATACATATGTATTATTTTTTGTTGTAGCTACTACATTATTATTTAATTTAATAAGAGTAAAATAGATTACTAATTACGCCAACTTTGATTGGGATGTGGTTCGAACCTAAGACCTTTCTTATTGAAATCAATGAGTAAGTTAACGGTGAACTAACAGAAATTAACGGAAAAAATAATATTTAACCGAAAAGTTAACGGATAATCATATTCATTAAGGATAAATTAGTAAATCTTAAAGAAAAATTAAAATCTGATCAATCTGAGCCATTCATTTGATTAAAAAATTTGACGGTCATTTTTTCTACCCATTATAGGCCTAACTCCCTTGGGCTCTTATTAGTATATATATATATATATATATATATATATATATATATATATATATATATATATATATATATATAGTAGATAGTAGATAGATATTATATATATAGTCAATAGAATCCTATAGTATCTCCAGTGCCACCCTCAAATATTTTCATTGGATCTTGGAAGGAATAAGTTCAATACATTCTTGATAGCTAGCTACTGTTCAGAAGGATGACTAATTGATCATCGTGTCCTAAAACAAATTTCTCCTTCCATCCATTTTTAGTCAAAGATTACTCTATTGCAATCTTTGGCATGATTTGAAACCAATGATGAGGAGAAGATTTGTTCCCCAATATAATCTAATCATTGAAGACATACTTTAATTTTGAACTTGAACAACCTTAAACAAGGATCTCTAAATAAATGCTTAATTAAGCATTTGATAACAACTAAATAAAATGTCAAAGACAATAAATTAAAGGAAGCATCACGAATCCTATCATAGGTGGTCTCAATGATGACAACTATGATATTGTGGAAATATACAATATGATTCTGTGCAATATATATGTACTAGACATGGCCATCCATATTGAGAATTGAAGAAGTAGAAGCAAAAAGAGCTTGAGGGGATTTTAAGGAGACAAGAAGAGATTGAAATGAACTCTGTCCTTGATTTGTATGTTGAGACAAAGCAATCTCTTTAAGCACTTGAAACCAAACTAGCAAGTGTCAAGTCACTTGACTCAAGTGTGAAAATGTCAAGATTATATTGAGAGCATTCCAATTGATAAAGATAGTGCAATGAAGCAAGACAAAGAAAATGAAGAGAGTATTGAGACATTGGTGGTGAAGGTATCTCTTGAGAGGGAAGACAATTAGAAAACGGAAGAAGGAATTGTTAAGATGCAACAAGAGCATGAAAATAATAGTGAGATTGAGTTTGTGGTAGAAATAGAAGAGAGTGTTGAACATGGTTGATTGTTGAAGAGTGTATGAGTAGGAAAAAAAAAAAAGATGTATTGAAATAAAGAAAAGGGTTAAAATACAAAGAAGGGAGAGCGAGAATAATATACACTGAAAATAATTTTCCTAAACCAAAAATAATTTTCCTAAACCAATTCTTTCAAGTTTTATTGTTTATTTGTAGGTCGATGAATAAGGATAGGAGCCTAAAACAAATAAGCCCAATTTGCAAGCTTGTTATAACAGTCGTTATATCATGCACCGCGGTCAAAACGGCGCCATTTCTTTAAGTAAAGAAACGGCGCGCCGTTATAGTTAACGGAGCGCGCATACTTGGTGTATTAATTATCAACTGACACTACCGTGTATCTAAACCGATACTGGCTCACGTATTATTTTTATATTATCAACTGAAACTGCAATTGAATTGAAATAAAACAGTAGGGGTGTTGAAATGAAACTGCTGTATATATAAAATGAAATTGAATAACATTTCACATTTTTGAGTGTATATTGTGTAATGAAGCTGTAGTTATATCGAAATGATCATGTAGCTGTGTTTTAATGAAACTATGGTGTACATAAAATAAAATTAAATAACACTTTCACATATTTGGGTGTTATAATATCGAATGAAACTGTAGTTATATTGAAATGAAACTGTAGTTATATCGAAATGAAACTACAGTGTATACAAAATGAAAATAAATAACAAAGTTACTTTTTTGCGGGATGGCGTGGAACGACGCGAAACAGATGGCGTTTGTTTGCATTAAATAAAACGACGTCGTTTTGACGCGCGGTGCATAATCAATTATGCACCGCGGTGCACGATATAATTTGCCTTGTTATAGTGGTTTAGTTCGAGTAATTTTTATACCATGGACCATGGTTCATATTATATTGTGAACTTAATCCTGATTCAAAAGTTATGTGTCACCAATTAATACATTTTGTATCTACAATTAACCATTTCTGTACCTGTAAACAAATTGACGGCACATAACATGATAATTAATTACATTTACATACCATGATAACTACAAACACATAAATTATTAACTGCATGTCCAAGATATGTTAACTGCACACACATAAGATGTTGATTACTATATTATGCGTCTGCCGTTAACATATTCTGTATATGCAGTTAACCATTTATGATTTTGTAATTATCATGTTATGTTTGTATATAAAATGTACCAACTGCATATACAAAATCTGAAGATTATTTTTGGACTAGAGTCCACAATGCAAGGTAGACCCTAGTACATGGTATAATTCAATCGTTATGTTGTGCAACCACACAAAAAAGGCCAAAAAATGCACCACAAAAAAAAAAAAAATACACCACACATAATGGTGTATTTTCGAACACTGTGTGGTGCATTTAAGCATACCTAATGCCGCACGGGAAGACCTGTTCTCACAGGAACCTGACCCTATATATAATATATAATAGCCCGACATTAGCCCGACATTAGCCCGACGAGCCCGAAACCGATTAGCCCGATGGCCTGATAGGGCTAGCCCGAAATTAAAAGGGCTAGCCCGACAATCCGAACTATTGAAAAATATTCTTTATTATAGAAGTGATGTAAAACCTAACATACTTGAAAT